ACTGGTCACACAAGCACAAGGGTGGGAACAGCAGACACTGGACACTGTTGGGGAGGGAGGGAGGGAGGAAGGAGGGGTGCGCGTGGCAACATACTGACTCCCTGATCCACTATAGGGTGAGAGAGGACCAGCCAGAAGTCCATATTTCACCTGCATGCAGCCTACTTATGTAGTTAATCCCCACTTGTACCCTACAACTCTAAAATTAAAAAATAAAAAACAAAGATCTGCAAACTACATAAAAGTAAATTTTTTCACCGCAAATCTAGGAACAACATCTCCTGCTTCAAGGAAGAGGGAGTGTTTGAACCTGTTAAACAGCAATTCTCTTCGGGAGAAACAAGTAGCATATTGAAATCAGTCATTTGCACGAGGGCCAGCAGAGCTTGTCAGAGAACACAGAATGTGAGGGGACATACAGAAAGCAAGGGGACATACAACCTGTTGAGAACAAACAGTGGAAAGGATTCACAGTCTCACCGTGGAGTAGAGCCTTTGGCCATGATTAGAAAGAGAGTCTGCTGAGTAAAGAGACAAAGAAGGAAGGGTCAAGCTTCACTGCCAGAGATATGGACAGTTCAGATTCTTAGTAAAATGAGGGGATAGGACCACATGACAGCAGGAATCTTTAGGACGCTTGAGAGATTCTCTGGGGATCTGCTTCGGCTGTTCCATAAGCCTCAGGCCTATGCAGAAGGTAGCTATAACTAAATATACCATGGCACAGTAATACCTCCACTCTGGGTCTGGTTTAAACAGGCTTGAGCATCAACTTCAATATGGATGGTCTATTTCTGGGACTAATTCTGCATTTCATGTAGGGAGTCCAACTGTCCTGATTTGCTCAGGACTGGCCTGGTTTTAGCACCAAATGCACTATGTCTTGGGCAAATCCTACAGCTAAGGCAAACTAGGATGGTATTTCACCCAAATTCTAGATATTTACTAAGAACCTGCTATGGGCTAGGTCCTGGAAAAGGCGTTGAGAATCCAATGAGAACAAAGCAGACAAGGTCCCTGCTGTCATGGGGCTACCATCAGTGGGGCAAGATAGCCATTATATAAAGGAATAAATAAACAGCCAGTCATCATAGATGATGATCATGAATCGTATGGAGCCTACTTAGAAGGGATCAGGGAAGTGTCTCTTAGAGCAGAACCTGAAGAATGAGAAGGAGTTAGCCATGAGTATGGCCAGGACAGACTAGTCCTAGGCCATTTGTAAGTTTCAAGAAGAGCTTGGGAGAATATTAACACTCTCTACAGTCATCTTACTTATCTACTTATGTACTTACTATTTGAATTAGATTTAGAATAAAAAATCTAATAAGATAATCAGAATAAACAGTACATGCAAAGACTTTGTCTATAACCTTGGTGCCCACAAGAGTACTTGGTATATAGTTAAATAAATAAATGAGTCAAAATATTGCCGTTTTAAAATATAATATTTATTAATACCTCCCCAAACCCACTTTCCCAGAAGTACTCCCACTTTTTTCAACAAGTTTATCCATAAAGCAGATGGAGTTATAAAGATCCCATGGGCCAAGGAACACCTGCAGGCTTCAGGCTAGCAGTATTCTGGGACAGTCTATGCCTACTGGCCCCAAGAGAAGCTTTGTAAATCCTGTCCTTTGCTCTGTGCTGATGTGTTGGCTCCTAAGATGTCAGGTGCTCTGCTCCCTAAGTCAGGAAGAGATACAGCTCATAGTTAGAAGCCTTTGGCTTTATTATGACCGGCCTGTAAAGGTGGGATGTGGTGTGACTAATGTAAAAAAGGCACAGAGGTAAGGTCTAACAAACTCATTACTTCCATGATGAGCTTGATCACCTCCCAAGCCAGGTTCCCCTTTCAAATGTCTCATTTCTGGTCATGGTACCTTCATTCTCCTGACCACACAGGTTTGAAACCTTAGCGCCTGCCTGATTTCCTTAAGCTTTTGCCTGCATCTGGTCAGTGGTTATGTCCTCTTATGTTGTACCCCCAAATTCTCCTTCCATTATCTTGCCATTTCTGGACCCCAGTATTCAGAGATTAGAGAAATGACCACCTACTTGATAGCCAACCCTGACCACACACACAGACACACGTATGATATACTGCTAGGTGGGACTATCTCTGATATGTGGCATATCAAGGACGTAAATTGCTCATCTGCTCCAGAACTGACAGTGGTTTACTATATTTATTTATTTATTTTGAGTTAGAGTCTCACTCTTGTCACCCAGGCTGGAGGGCAGTGGCATGCTTTTGGCCAGTGCAGCCTCAGCCTGCTGGGCTTAGGCGATCCTTCTGTCTCAGCTTTCCAAGTAGCTGAAACTACAGATGCACACCACCATGCCCAGCTAGTTTTTTTGTGTGTGTGATTTATGGTAGAGATGAGGTCTTACCAAGTTGCCCAGGCTGATCTTGAACTCCTGGGCTCAGGCAATCCTTTTGCCTTGGCTTCCCAAAGTGCTAGAATTACAGGCTGAGCCACCGTACCCAGCCGGTTCACTATATTTACACAGTCAAGGGTCCCAACCAAACTTTCTAATCTTACCTCTTATTTACACATTTACATACAAAATAATCCAATGGAGTGGATTGTCTGTATTTGGGGGAGAAAAATATCAAAAACAAAATAGCCTGAGTTCTCTCATCTCTATGACTTCTCTTATACTATGTCATTTATCTGGAATGAACTTTCCTAGTTCCAAAATAGGTAACTAATAACTGTTTCTGCCTAGGCTTTAGAAACCCACTGAAAACATCTTAAGTTCCTAGAGGGAAATTCTAATACCTGGGACAGCCTTATTAAGTAAATCATAATGATCATTCTACTGATGATTTAACACTAACAAAACACATACTTTCAGACACAGCCAAGTCCTGCTGCAGGTTTCAGTGATTCACAGCCATGATCCCTGATGCCAAGTTTATGGTTAATAGGAATCCAGCACTGGCAGTTCACTTTGAACATTCGGGGTTTTCTGTATGAATAGGAGTTATTTGTGGCCATTCAGATTAAATTTAAGGGAAAGTGTGTTGGGGGATGACCAATATTTATTGAACATTTACTATATGTCTAGGATTGTGCTGAGCACTTTCCATATATATTTATTTAATCTGCATAACAATCATCTAGAACATTTATTATTATCTCTATTATCACAAAGGAGAAAACTGAAGCTCAGGGAAGTTTTTTAAATAAGTTGCTTAAGAACAAATATCTAATAAGTGACAGAGAGACGATTTGGACCCAGCTGAACCTGACTCCAAAGACTATGTTCTTTGTATGACCAGGAGGATGCAGTCTATGAAGCAGACACATAGACCATCAGATGGATTTGCTTTGGGGTAAGTTCTGAAACTGAAGTCATTCCGAAGCACACAGGCCTCCCAAGACCTCATCAGTATTTGTGCTACAATTTGGATGGAAGCAACAATACACCACAACCAATATCACCCGTCATGGAAAAAGAAAAACTTGTTTCAAATCCTGGCTTCGTGTGAACAGAAGTTATTCAGTAGGTACAAACTTCAGTTTTCTCATTAATAATACTAAATTAATAATGCTAACTTTTAAAATAAAATTAAAGCATGAATATAAAGTCATTAGCACATCTGTAGCTCACTCAATAAATTGTAGGGAATTAAATATAATTATCATCACTATTCAGCAGCCTCCTCCATCTTTCACTCATTTAAAAACTGTGACTATATTTACTTATCTTTATGTGTGATTTCTAAACTCTTTTTAAAAGTGTGACTGCATTTACTTATCCATATGTGTCATTTTGTGTTGTTGAAGAGCCTTTGACAGTTGCAGATACTCATAAAATTACTTTAGTGATATCTTTTAAAATAAAGACATTCTTGTACATAACGATATCATTATCACCTAAGAAAAAAGCAACAGTATTTCCTAATATTTTCTGATTTCTAGTACATATTAAATTTCCTAAATTGGTCCCAAGGATATTTGAGCCAGGATGCGCTTAGAATGTGTTAGCTAAGGTTATTGTTTCTTTATTTCTTTTTGAATCTGTATCAGTTTCCATCTCATTTCCATCCCTTTTTGCTTTTCTTGACATTGTCTTTAAAAACAAAAACACAAGCCATGTGTCTTGGAGATAGTACCAATTTCTGAACTTGTCTGCTATTTTTCCTCAAGGTGTCATTTAACTTGTTCCTCTACTCTCTATGTTATCTATAAATTGGAATGCAGATCTTAAGCCTCTATTGCTGTTAAAATATACACTGGGGCAAGAATGCTTCAAAGTCAATGGCTATTGACTGGCGTTCATATTACGTCATATCAAAATTTCCATGACCACTTCCTCTTCAAAATATTTTGTGGTTTCCTAGTTATCTCTGGGGTATGGCTAGGCCAGTGGTTTCCACTCTGGTTTCACTTAGAATTATTCCGGGGAGTTTTTAAAAATATTTGTTCCTAAGTTATACCCCTAGAGATTCTTGTGTTGGGCAAAGGCATTGGTATTTTTATAAAGCTCCCAGGTGATTCTCGTGTACAGCACGACCAGTTTAGAATATAAGCTCTGAGAAGGTCAGAGGCATGCCTTGCTTATTTACTACCACACAGTCTCATTGTTAAGCAGGAGATCTGGCTCATAACTACTTCTCTATAAAGCATATTGATTTAATTAATTGCTAATTAATAAATCAATAGCCAGCATATAGGCAACCTCACCCTCCTTTTACACCCTGACTTTTCCTGTTTTACTGAATGGCGAACTATGAGGCCAACAGGTTAATTTTACTGCATGTTTAGAGAGATCACATTGGACTGTTATTTTCCGAGTTTCTGAAAACTTTATATCAATGGAAAAAGAATCATTTTCAAACTTCTAAGAAAGAAAAAAAGAACAAACACTCACTTAGCTACAGTGTTTGATTAATTCTGTTGCAGACAATCCTCTCTTTCTTTTTATTTTCACATTCTCAGTTCTCCCAGTTCTTATTTTAATGACTAGGGAAGAGATTCCAAAATTACCTAAGGAGGAGGAAATATCCAAAGTTTGTCTTGGTTGTAATTATCGCTTTTTTCAAAGAGGCTGAGCAGCTTGTAACCACATGAAGAAGCGCTGTAGAAAGAGAAGGACTTGGGTTGTAGCTTTGCATCTATGTGTTCACATTCAACTTTAAATAAGAAAAACAAAAAAGGCATATGACTCCTAAGTGCTTGCCACACTCAACATCTGTAGTTTCAAATAAAAAGGAGATAAGAATAGCTACCTCCTCCTAAACAAGCAGAGTATACCACAGCAAACTTGGGGAATGATGAATAGACACCTATTTACAGTACAGACACTAAGTGAAAATCATCAATAATTCAACAGGAAATCAGTGAAAGATACGAGCACATAGTTTGTGTCTGAAAAGGCTTTACACAGATGAAAAATGTTACTCGCACTCATAACAACAAAATCATACATTGAAACTAGTCTGAGATAATTTTTTCTTTGACTCAGAAGATTAGTGAAAACCTACTGTCTTGGGGAAGATTACAAATGCACACATGTTTTGTTCAAGCTATACCAGATAAGACCATTATCCTATAGGTATGCTCCATGCATTATGTGAAATGACACAGGAACAGACTTACTCATTCCATCAAAGTAAAAGATGAGAAGCAATTAAATATCTATCATTAGAGAACTGGATAAATACATTTTGATACAGTCACAGAATCAAACACTTTGCAGGTACCATAGAAAGTAACAAGAAAACCATGTACTGGCATGGAATGCTCATACCTGGCTTAATGAAAAAGGTCTGAAAATGTATCTTGAAGAGTATGCCACAATGCACATAAAAGAAGGGAATGAAGGAACATATACTTGTACTTATTATTGTATACATTAAAAAAATCTTTGGGCAGAGTTTTAAACAAGGAACTGGTAAGTGGTTAGCTTTTATGGGAAGGAGATGGGAAGTTAGTGGGTATAAGAGAGTGGGCTGTAAAACAAGAAGGAATCTTTGCATGATACTACTTCATACCACATTGTGTCCAAACCGTGTGAATACAGTACATGTCCCCAAACTTAAATTCTTTATAAAAGCCCTGTGGAATATCTTGAGACATGTATTTTTCAAGTAGAAAGCATCCCAGATATCTTTATAGTCCTTATTCTTATTGTGAAGTTTCAGAAACAAGTCTATTACTTTTCAGTTTCACTAAAAATGAAACTGAAGCTCTGCATAGTTCTCACACACCCTATCTTAAGACATGGACTTGTGGGTGGGGGGAAATCTCAGAAGAAAACGTCTCATGATAATTTCCAATCTGGCTTCTTGTTGTTCTACAGAAATTCAGAGTTTCAGGTTATATGTAAACATGTACAATTCAAAGTCCAAACATTGTTGGAAGATGTCCAGCCTAGGACTCATGCTTACATAACACTGAAGGAATTGTGTCAAAGGAAAACTAATCTTTTACAAGGAAAAAAAAATTCATCTTTTTCTCCTATAAAGCTTTCCATGGAATCTGCAAGAGAAGAGAAGGCTATCTTGCATAGTGATGGGGAAATTTTATCTCAGAAAAAAAAGGAACTCTTTCTTCACAGAAAAATCCATAAGATAAAAAGTAATTGTGCTTTATTGGTTGACTTCTTAGCATCTTTTTGGGTTATCACTTATTTTTGTGTGTGTATTCTAATAAAAGAGTGGGATTGTCATGATGTCATTAGCATTTTGCCCAGTGCAAGGCATACAATAGGTGCACCACAAAAGACTGACAGACCACATCTGTGTTCTGGGGTCTCTGCGATCTTGCCAAGTCAAATATTCTCTCCCTGTCTTGGCTCAATATCCTTATCTAGAAGTGGAGTGACAGTGCTTAACCTAAATATCCCGTGATTTTGATATGGTGACCAAATAATATGACCACTGTGAAAGATTTTAGAAAGCATGTCTTGAAAACATTACTATTGTTGCTGCTATTATGATACAGAGATAAACAGAACAGAGAAAAAAATAAAACTGATTCTAGAACATGCTGCATGGAGTCTCACTTTGACAGATGAACAAATGGAAAAACCAAAGGTTAAACAACTTGCTCCAAGTCAGATGTTTTCATCAAATGCCTCATTTTCCTATCCCCTTACTTCTGTCACTTGAGCTTAGAGAGTTCATGGAAAGCGTGAGAAAGGAGAAGACCACCAGGTGACCCTGGTCCTAGGAAGGATGGAGAGACAGTAAAAAAGTGATCAGAGACAGCACAAAAAAATGGCAGAGTGGTGGGCAAGTCCTGTTGAGGTGGGAGTATAAATGGGGAGGGATGTTAACAAAAATGGCAATTTTCACTAAGCTTTTTTTCTGGGGGGGCAGGTTGGAGTCTCACTTTGTTGCCCAGGCTTGAGTGCATGGCATGACCATGGCTACCACAGCCTCTGCCTGCTGGGATCAGGTGATCCTCCCGCCTCAGCCTTCCAAGAAGCTGGAAACACAGGTGTGCGCCACCACACCTGGCTAATTTTTTAATTTACTGTAGAGATGAGGTCTTGCCAAGTTGCCCAGGCTGGCCTCGAATCCCTAGGCTCACACAATCACTTGCTTCAACCTCCCAAAGTGCGGGGATTACAGGTGTGAGCCCCCCACCCCCACTTACTAAGCATTTCTGATCTACTAATCTTTGGAGATTTATCTCATTTAAATATCACAAGAGTCTAATTCACTTTCAAGAGTCAATCTTCATTTTCCAATTGAGGAAACGAGACAAGAAGCCCCTGATAGGTGGCTGGGCTGTGATGAACCCTGGGACTGTGTGAACCCAGTCAGGCCCCAATCACTCTGCCTCATTCCACAATTATTGAAGAAGATCGTAGAGGATGAATGGGAGAGATTTTTAGGGACTATGTTTGACATACACTCAAAATTTAAGCATAAAGTATCTTAACTATATGTTTCCTTTCATAACTTGAGGGTAAAATATGATTTAGAATGCCAAGATGGATTCATGTTGAGTGTTTTCTGTATGTGAAAAGACCCAGGGCCACTTCTTTTAGATGAACATCTTGAGGACCCATATGTCAAAAGGGCCAGAACAGGGGGTTGAGTCAATGAATAAATGCTATCACATAGGAATCTTGGAATGGAATTAGCCAGGGATATTTCATTTCTCTATGCCAAGTAAGTGTCTGAATAATGATAATATTCAGGATATACACAGAGCATTTTAAATACCACGTGCTGTTCTAAGGGGGTACAGATTCATTTAATCTTCATAAATGTGTGAAGTGAGTTCTCTTATTATCTTTTTTTATGGATGAAGAAAATGAGACACAGAGAGGTTAAGTAACGTGCCTGAGATCAAACAGCCAAAAAGCAGTAGAGCTGGGATTCAAACCTGGGCAAGTTGGCCTGCAGTACTCAGTGCTGCACAATACCTGTGTATTTCCTCACCTCAGAGTTCACTCAAAAAGAAATTTTTCTGCCTAAATGAAAATTCTCATTCTGGAGCTAGACAGGGATTCATTTAATTAATTAAGTCATTGTTGTATTCACTATTCAATCTAGATTACAATCCTACTATGTAGCAGGCTCAGCAATAGTGCAGATAGACATGGTTTCTGCTATCCTATAACTTAGTCTAGTAGAGAGATACACTTAAAGCAAATAATTACAAATAAATGTTGAAAGGACATAACATGGAGTTAATATAGCCAAAGAGCAGTCATTTTAACATCAGCTTTGTCATGTTTTTCTAGCAGTTCACTTTAATTTACCTTCCAATCCACTAGCCAAAGACAGAACTGGTTTCTCAGAGGTAGCTATAGATAGTTGTTTTTACAACCCCCTCCCAAGCTTGTTTTGTACTAATTAGCTTTTCTATTTCAAGTATTTGCCTCCACCCATAAGATTCAAGTTAACCTAATCAGCCCTTTGTGACACAGACCCCATCAACATGGCAGCAATCATGTGACTGACCCACTCATCTGCCTGCCATCTATCACCTGATGTCAGTACCTATGAGTACCTGTCCTCTGTGATGATGTGTCACAGGCCTCCACCCAACTACCTTAGGGGAATGTTTAAAAGCATTCAACCTCAAGTAGCCATTCGTCGTTACTCTGCAAAGTCATGGTCTGACCATGTGGCTCCTTGAGCTGTGGTTGCCATGTTTCCTAGATGTGGCCCCCTCCCCTACCTTGGGGAGGTGAATCTCCTTCTCTCTTCTCTCTCTCTAATTTACTTTCTAAATAAACCATATTTTCCAATCTAACTTCTATGCAATTTTTTGCATCTTTCATGTGGCACTGGATGGCACATCCCCACCCCACCAGGTCTGACCTACCATTTTGGAGGCCCTGCTGGGACATATTTTAACCTAACGCTTTTGGAGGTCCCAGCAAGGATTTTTAACCTAACAAAAGTCAAATTACAAACTCTCATAAGAACTAGAAAGGAAAGCTACAAGGTGTTATTATAAGATTAAAAGTGCATTTAAAGAGGCATGTGTCCTAGTTGAGGGTGGTGGTTGGCTCCTGAGGAGGTGACCTTTGACTAGAACACTAATCTAAGCTCTTGAGCTGTTTAACATCACTAAACCTCAATTCTCACCTATAAAGAGAGGAAGAAGGGTTGTCCTAAAGTCTTAATGAGATAATAAGTGCAAAGAGGTTATTTTAACTCTTAGTAAATACTTACTAAATTATCATAATTGGCTTTGTTATATTACTTTTCTTATTGTCCCTTGACCAGTGCACAGGTAGAGAACAGGATAAAAGAAACATGAAGCCTGAGAATAATAACAATTACAACATCAGAAAGAAGGGGGGATGGAAAAAAACATTTTAGAAATGCGAAGGAGTTTAATTTGCAAAAAGAGAGTGATTCCAATGGGTTTTAACTCCTATAAAATAGAGTTATTCAGTAAAATATGCAGTAGATTGCAAGTAACCAAGTGAGAAAATGAATGCATATGGGAAATTCAATGCTTTGCTGAGGTTTTTCTGACATTTCCAGAATTTTGTCATGATATTGATTATGTCTAGGGATAGCATGCTTTTCTGTGTTTTTAAAGTATTTCTTCCAATGTTATTACTGGGTTGATTGATTAATATGCTCTGCCTTTTACCCGGAGCTTGGCACTCCAGCACACAGGAGGAAGAGTAAGGTTGACTGTACTGTGTGCACAAGGGATTGAGAGTGGAGCTGTGAACCTGTAGCCACGAACCATTGGGGAGGGGGCCACAGATGGGCAGAATGCCCCTGGGGAGGAAGGAGGGTCTTCTGAAACTAATGTGTGGATTACAGAGCTTCCAACCTGACTGCCCTCCTGTTTCAGATTAGCGAGAAAAAGAAGGAAAGCCTAGTGGGTTGTCTTCATGGAGATTGATTTACTCTTTCTTGAAATGTGAGGTGTCTCTGGAAGAATTCCTCTGGGGAGAGGTTAAGTCCTACTACATTTTTCGGACAAAAAAATTGTTTATTTCCCCTTGTGGGGAGGGCTTCAAATGTCAGAGGACACTTCAAAAGGCTGAAATGTCCTTTGTGGCTGGAGTTAAAACAATTGAGGCAAGAGCTCTGGGAATCCAAGAGTCACAGTGCAGCAGGTGGGCAGGACAGTCCTGGGGAGGGGTCCAGGTGAGCAGGACGGTCCTGGGGAGGGCAGTCTGCAGGTGAGAGGGAGGGTCCTGGGGAGGAAGCCCTGCTAACTGGACATGGGCACATTATCATCCAGATCTAAGTGCCACACCTCCTCATCTGTGGGAGGAACTAGGTACTGTGGAGGCCAGGAAAGGCCGGGAGAGTGGGGCCCCTGGATCTGTCCAGGCTACGTCTAGACTTCAGCTTCTATCCTCCATTTAAACCCAGACAGCTTTGTCCCCATGGGGATAGACTGCTGTAGCAGAGTCTTTCAGTCTTTCAGTAGTTCAGTTGACTCAGGTACTCTGTGAAAGTTTTCTACCCCTGATTCGTTCACTCTTGGGCACCTGTAACTCTGGAATTTCCATCAGTAAAATATTTGTTTTTCTTTGAGTAGTCTAAAGCTAGCTAACACATGTGCCTGACATCCTCTCTTTTATCCTTCTGGGAGAAATTCTAAAATATGAAAGGGAGCTGGGTTACAATAGGAGATGTGGGACGCTGAATATAGACAGCACGCAAAAGCTACCATTAACCACGGATGGAATTGCCATGTCCCCTCTAAAGACAAGAGTGTTTTCCTCATCGTCAGGGATACATATTGAAGACGTCTCGTGTTTCTAGGATGATTTTGAGGGACCTGGCCTTTCATTTAAAAGATTTTATAACGATGTGGTGGGGGCTTTTTTTCTTGTGATTAGACTGCTGCATCTGACTATTGACTAAATGACAACAGTATTTTTGCCCCCTACTCTTTTTTTTTTTTCCGTCTCACTCTGTCTCCCAGCTTAGAGTGCAGTGGCATGCTCACAGCCACCCCAGTATGGACCTGCCAGGCTCCAGTGATCCTTCCGCCTCAGCATTCCAAGTAGTCAGAACTACAGGCATGTGCTACCACACCCGGATAATTTTTTTATTGTAGAAGACGAGGTCTTGCCAAGTTGCCCAGGCTGGTCTCAAACCTGTGGACTCAGGCAATCCTCTCACCTCGGCCTCCCAAAGTGCTGGGATTACAGGCTTGAGCCACCACACCCGGTCCCCCCGCCCCACTCTTTCAAGAGCACTCATAGATAGATGGTCCCCAGTTTATGATGGTTCAACTTAAGATTTTTTCAGTTACAATTGTTTTATCAGAGTATTGATGCATTTTCTATTTATAATATTTTTAACTTGCAGTCGAATATTCAGGACATAACCTCATAAGTTGAGAGAAACATCTCACTGGAAAGATAGGGTAGAGAGAATAACCACAAGTTAAAAAGAAAAGAGAGACAGGAATAGAGCTTATCAGGCATAAGACGGTGATACATAGAATCACCATGGAACCCAGAGCTAAGTGAAGCTTCTGGAGCCAAGATGGCCGGGTCTGAACACTCATCACAGGTCCACTCACCATGTAAGCGTGAAGACAGGCCAGCGCTGATAAGTGACATGGATGAGGCACTATTTCATTCAAATTCTTAATCTCAAAACCACACAGCAAAGAGGATGTCTTTTCCACCCTAGAATTTAAAGAATGTGTTTCAAAAATGTATTTCCTTAGTACATTTTTTAGTCACTGTTATTTGCCACACCTAGCACATAGTAGGTCGCTAGTAGCTAGTTGTTGAATGAAATCTATAATCATCTGTGTTTTTGCATGACCAGAGAACTGACTCCCACTGTCTTCTCGGAAAAAAGCTCATGTTGTCTGTGTCAAGAAACAAAAACCTCTTGGCACCCAGCTGTTAGGTTTAAGGTCTCCAGAAATAGGAAACCCCGTCTTTACTTCTTGGCCCATGGCTGTCATATCTGAAGTTTAGCTCTAGAAATAAAGAGAAGATAAAATATCTTGAAACAGTTTTTAAAGAAAGACCCTCCCCCAGTGCTGTTTGCTGCCACCTTCTTTTTCTCCTTCTTTTCAGCATGACATCCTCTCAAACGCTACCTGACAGACTGCGGCAGTCACCCTGTGAATGTAAGTAATTTCCTTATTGACAGCATCCCATTCTCTCTGACATCTGCCAGCACTCCCTGACACTTGAATAAGCATTAAGACATTAACAGTCTGGCACAGGTTTAAGGGCTGGAATAGTAATGCCTGGCAGGCCTGCTGCACAAAGCCACATGCAAACAGATCCCCGCTCATTCAACTCTGCCGTCCTTCTGGTTGGAAAATGCAGCCGAGCCCAGAGTAAATGCCGATTATTCGCTCGACTGCGCTGGCATTTTGGTGTCTCCTAAGACAGGCCAGCTCGTACATTCAAGGAAAAGAAAAGGAACAACGAGAAGACAAGCTTGCGAGGCAGTGTGAGAATTGAATATTAATAGAAAGGCAGGTCTTGGCTCTGTGGGATGAGTTAATATTTTAAAGGGTTTGACTTAGAATAAAAAGCAAAGTCAAGCTTCTCTAATGCAGACAGAACAAGTTGCATCTCACTTTCTTCTTACAGTATCGGCTTCTTTCCTAATAGTAGCTGGCAATCACCATCTTTGTGCCATGGATTTTTGAAAGCCAACTTGGGGGATCCACACACAGAAAATTATTGGGAAAGAACAGTAGAGTGGTCTCTATTGCTAGAATCTGTTCACTGAGAAATGGCAATGATATCAACATGCATGCTATTAAATTGCTGAGCGAGTCAGAGAGCTGCCTTCAGTCTGTTCTCAGTGGCTTGTTTGGGATCAGAGAGCCATGATCCATGCTGGTAATGCCAAGGTTAACCTCACAATAAGAAGGGCAGAGCTCTTTCTGAGGGTGGGACACTTTTTCTTGAGTGAAAAAATGACTCAATATGACTGTACTTAGCAAACTAAAGAATTAAAATAGGTTTTATAGGAGTTCAAGGTAGTCTGAGGGAAGGTTCAGACAAGGTGTCTCCCTTGGGTACATTCTGTGGCTCATGATTCCCTGAACACCATGATCTTTCTCGTTCCCCCGCTTGAGCCCTGACAGGGACAGGGCAGTGACACTGAGAAAGGGTGCTAGTTGCAGAGTGATTTCTTCACAGGCTGTCTTTGTTTTCTTGTCCTTTGGTCTCAGCCTGGAGACATTGTCTCTGCTTTGCAAATGAGGAAGAGAAAAAGAGCTCAGAAAGGAAGAGGAACTGTCCCAAAATCAAACAGGTGGTGAGTGGCAGAGACCTAAAATGAACCTGGTCTTCACTCTGGGGTTGGCATGTTTCCAACACATTAACTCCCAGTCCCAGGAAACTTCGTTAGTATTACCAGAGATAGGACACAGTAACCTAGAGGCTGTGCAGAGCTAAAGAGTTGTCTGTGGCTATGCTTAGGTTTATCAGGATCTGAGTGGAAACAGCAACACCTGCTCCAATCCACAGAAGCGTGGGGCAGATCCCTTCAGACTGGACTCATTCCTTCAGAAGCAGGAGGTTTTGGGCCAGCTGATGATGGGTGTGGGAGGTATCTGAGGATGGGTGAGTCGGGAGACTTAGAGCTCTTCAGCTAAATTAAGTCCCATCTCCAGGTTTGCTGCTCCAAACCTCGCATGTTTTAGGATATGCCCCTCATTAGCTACTTAGTTAACTACATCTCAGTCTCTTCATTTATAAAAGAGTAATGACAACCATATCCTACATATAGGCTTGTTGTGAGGACTAACTGAGCTGAGGCTTATCCAATGTTTAGCACAGTCAATGCTCAAAAACTCAACATTAATATATATTACAGTAAGACCCCTATATATGAATGAGTTTCATTCTGAGAGCATGTTCATAAGTTCAATTTGTTCATAAATCCAACAAAGTTAGCCTAGGTGCCCAACTAACACAATTGGCTATGTAGTACTGTACTGTAATAGGTTCATAATACTTTTCACACAAATAATATTTTAAAAACAAAGAAAATATTTAATCCTACAGTACAGTATCTTGAAAAGCACAGTAGTAGAATACAGGGGCTGGCATTGAGTGAACAGGCAAGAATAATGACTGACAGGAGGAGGGAGGGAAGGTGGGAGACGGCAGAGTTGAAGGATCATCAGCATAAGGAAATGGAGGGCAAGCTGCCATGTCACTCACACTGACGTTGATGGCACAGGTAGATTCTGATTCCTTTCTGGATTCAGTTCTATCTACCCTCTTGAAAAATGAATGTTTGCATCTTTGAAAATTCACAACTTAAACGTTCATATATAGGGGAAATACTATATTATTAATTGATATAGCTGTCCACCAACATCTCTCCTAGGACGTCCTGCAGTTGCTTCAAATGCATGCACCAAGCCAGTTCATCTTCCACATAATCATAACAATCACAGCACAAAGCTGCTGAGAGCCTGGCCTATGTTTGGTACACTATCCTTATTAGCTTATTTAGTCCTGTAGTTAGGCATTTTACAGATGGCTTAATCAAAACTCAGGGGGATTAAACAACCTGTCCAAGTCTCATAGTTGTTCAATGTCAGATGAGACTTCAAGACTGGGGGCCTCTGATGCCAAAGCCACTCTGGTCTAACCCACCTTGCCTTCCCCAGACAACGATGCAAGCCGTGGGAACTTTGAATTTCTTTTCACTCTGAGTCCTCCACTCACAAAATTGGGAAATCCTTCCTGGCTGTTCCATTTTGTGGGAATCTCATCCTCCTCTGACTGCCCTGGTCAGCACCACTTTTCCATCTGCTGGACATCATGGGCTGCCTTAGCATGAACTGCTTTCTGGTTCCTCTTCTTTCTGGTTTAACCCCACATCCCACAATGCTGCCTGATTAACCCTCCAAAGTCTGGCTCTCTTCATGTCCCTGCAGAAAATCTTCAATGCCTCCCACTCTCTGCTGTAGAAATATGATCCTCATCAGTCTGTCAGTCAAGGTCAGCTTTCCCCATCAATGTGTGGCTCAGCTCTTTTGTTCTCTTGGCACCCTCAGTGGAAGGCCCATGCCATGAGGGCAATGATGTATGCCTCGTGTTCACTGCAGTATCCCCAACACCCAGAATAACACTGTTTATAGTCAGTGCTTGTTAAATATTTGTTGAATACATAAGACAATTTCCCAGCCAAAATGATTGTACTTTCTTTTCACTGTGTTTAGAGACATTGAAAGACAAAATCTGCTTTCACTTTTTGAAGCTTCTAGTAATGTTTTAGAAATGAAGAAAAGCCAACACAGGATTTTTAAAAAATTGATATATTTTAGAAGATAATATTTATCAAATTAATGCTTTTAATGTCTACAAACAAAATGCAGCTGGGTGCAGTGGCTCATGCTTGTAATGCCAGCACTTTGGGAAGCTGAGGTAGGAGGATTATATGAGGCCAGGAGTTCAAAACCAGCATGGGCAAAAAAGCAAGACTCTCTCTCTACAAAAGATAGAACAGTAATCCAGGCATGCTGGTGCACCTCTGTAGTCTCAGCTACTCGGGAGACAGAGGCGGAAGGATCACCTGAGCCCAGGAGGTCGAGACTGCAGTGAGCCGTGATCGTGCCACTGCATTCCAGCCTAGGCGACAGAGTGAGACCTCAACTCAAAACAAACACACAGTGTAATATGTGTGCTACTCAAAAATAATTACAATAATTACAGGACTTATTCATTCCTAGTCACTATAGGTAGTGTGACCCAGTATTGGAACACCTGCTTGAAACAGAGTGACAGAGATCTCCTTTGCTCTTGCCAGGACATGCCCTCCTGAGGCAGGTGTTACCCTTTGGCGGACCTTCTGGCTGTGTGGTCTGACCCTAATGGTGCTGCATCTCCCCTGCTCCATATCCCCAGTCCTTGCTCTGTACATTCCTTTCATCTGCCCCTTCTGTCCATCTCATACTCTACTTATCCTTCAAAGAGTCAACACTCAACCTCCCTGTCTTTTTCCCAGGCTTGTCCACCTGAACAATCCTCTCACTCTCGTGGCCTCCCCACAGAAATCTAACTAGGTCCCTGTGCTTGTGATTTCTTCTTTTATCCCATGCATGTTAGCTATACATATCCTCTCTAGGTTCATGAAAACAGGTCTCAGCAGCTATTTCTGGTTCCTCTTTGTACCCACTCTCTGCCTACTGCTCTGTATCACGTCATGTCCACAGATGCTCAATATATTTTTTGAATAAATAAATGGATGCAGCAACCCAGGTAAAAATAGCAGATGGCTCAAGTCTCAGTGTTAGGCATCATGTTGACTTGATCAGTCCATAGGAGGTGTGAGGGAGAGGCAGGCTGTGTCTAACAAGGGGTGAGCAGAAGAAAGGCAGCACTTCATGGAAAGCATCACAGCCTACAAATTAAGGAGGGGTCTTGGGCTTGGGTTCAGACATCAGCTGTCTCTTATTTGTTGTATATACTTTGGACAACAAATGATATTTTTACCTACTATACAGGTTTTGTTGTGAAGATCAGGTAAGCTAATAATGTGAAGTGGCAATTCCCATTGTGGTAGATTGAAATCTTGTTTCAAATACTTTGCTAACTTTCATGTTAAAACACACACACCTGCCTTAGTTCTGGCTGCTTTAGCAAATTACCATAGATAGATGGCTTAAACCAGGGGTCCCTAACCCCTGGGCCAC